GAAAAGAAAACAGATTCAAAGTAGAATCTCCTAGATCTTCACTGTGTTTTCTTTTAGTTTCATTTCACAGTATTTGATATTGAGCAGTTCTAGGCCATCCTGGAATCTTTACACTTGAGTTTACAGTTTCTGGGGTATTAGTGCTTAGAACCTGGCTTCTTGTATATACAGAAACAATATGTCTAAGGCCATGCTAGACTAACTGAGAAGGGGAATGTGGGAGAATGGCAGGTGAAAAAGAGAACCTAAACTGTAGCAGAAAAGAGTACAGAAATATAGGCTTCTGACTACCAGAGAATATGTCAGGATAAAACTTGGGGCTCTGCTCACAAAGAGATCTGTTCATGGAAGAAGAGAATAAGTGAATATCTTAGAACAGCTCTGCTTGGAGTATTACAATGGCTTTGAAACCTAGAACACTGAGAATCCAAAGACTTGACTTTTAGGCTGATGACTTGCATGGTCTACATAGAAGCAAAACAAACATTCCTTAAACCCTAATTTGTGACAACATCTAGCAGTCCAGCAACAGAACAATATATCCCTTTATGGCATATAAAACAGGGTCTCTATGTTATTTATTTATTTAAAGACAGGATTTCATTATGTAGCCAGGTAGGCTTCAAACTCTTGATCCGCCTGCCTCATCCTCTTGAATGCTGGGATTACAGGATTGCACCACCATGTCTAGCTGGCCTTTATGTCTTGTGACAGTACATACTGTAGGATCTTCAGTGTTATTTCTTCTCCAAACCCCAACAAATAAATATGTGTTTATGGGTCAACATATTCAGTCAGACTATGGTGAGACCTAAGCTCTTTTCACATTCTGATTGTAAATATAGTGAGCAAAATCACCTTGCTAATACAGTATGGGGTGAAAGATCCCACTGACAATTCTCAGGTCAATTGGAATATGGGCTAACTCTACTAAGAGTACAATGGCCAAACATTTGCCCTTATTCCTCTCTCCCCACAATTAACAAATGAGATATGGAGGTGGTTTATTTCCAAGAACTGATCCTTTCTGCCACCCACAGCACAATAGACATGACTATATTTCCAGAACTTTCTTAAATCAGAGCAGAGGGGACTCTGACACTGAGTAGTGACTCACCTGTGAGATCATGTGATTATTCAAGGGTGGCTGTTGTTGAGGAGTGGGTGGGAGAGCAGGAAGTTGCTGCTGCTGCTGTTGCTGCTGGGCAGTACAAGGGAGAACGCCCCGGACAGACTGGGGTGAGGTGACCTGGTTGCATACTTCTGGGGCACCTAGTGCCATACCTAAGGCAAAGAGGAGACCCAGGCAGAGTTGAGACAACAAGCCATGACTATACTACCCCTGCAGGGCCAAGCTCTACTTTTTCATTACCCTTTCTCTTTACTCCCCTCTGAGCATTCCCGCAACTGTTTTTTGCTATGTTGATGGGAGCCTGCCTTTTAGCAGGTTTCTGTTCCCTAGGAACAGGAACTACCTTGACTGTCAATGTTTGGTTTTGGAATTAAACAAAATGTAAGGCTGTTGAGGCATCTCCTCTGAAGTTCCTAACATGTATCCATTATGATGGGACAGCTGAAAATATGAATACGTACTTCCCGGGAAAGTACAGATTCCTATCTCTCTTTGCTTTCTTCTTAACTTGCAATATCTTTTATAAAAACTGCTGAGAAGGCAACTTGTTTTTTTAAGCACAATCTTTACCCACTATTTTTCCCATTTTCAGGTTCTTCAAGGCATGCACACACTCACACAACACACTTTTTTTAAAATAAAGAAAAATAGTTTATTTTGGCTTACCATACAACATGCTTTTACTGAATATCTACTATGTGCCAGGCATTGTGCAATGAATTAACCACACAAAGGGGGAGGGAACACAGTCCTTATCCTTGAGAGACAAAGGATCTTCTGAGGGGCCATTCCTACAACTATTATAATCTGGTAAGGATAAGGGATGAATTAGTGATATCACCAAAGTTGTATGACAGCAAAAATGAAGCAGCACTAACTCTTGGGAAGGTCAGGGAAGAATTTAAAGAGTAAGTGGCAGAAGAGATGGGTTTTATGGATGAACAGAAGCTTGTTAGACCAAGGGAGACAAAATGAATGCCATATTCAAGAAACAGTTGGAAGGCTGGAGAAGGATGGTTATCTGGAAATGAGATTGCAATGGCCAACTAGTTGGAAATTATGCTGCATTAAGTAGACTTTATTCTGCAGGTGATGCAGAAATGTGAACATTTTTAAGAGGGGAATGAAGTGATTAGATCTAGTTTCAGATTGGTAAAACTGGCTCTCAAAAGGACTGAGGACAGAGTAGGAAGATCAGTTTGGGAGCCAGTATAATAATTAAATAAAAGAAAATAAAGGTCTGATTTAAGGCAGAGGTAGTGGGATTAGAAAGGGGTATAACAGAGCAGTGCAGTAGAGACCTAGCTAAAAACAAAAATCTTCACTACTACCGATGCCTATTGAGGACAAGACCTATAAAACTTCCAGGATAAAATTAAAGCAATTCTTCAAAGGGACAAGGATGCTGAAATAGAGATCCACTGTGTACAGAGAGCTAAATATCCCTGCTAAGAGTGTAGCAGGAATAGAGGGAGAGCAGGAGAAATGAAAGATGATAACAGGCTTTTATGTGGAACACATGAGTGTCTTCTCCTTCCCAGTGACTGAGCTCCAGAGAAGTAGCCATAGCAGCATTCCTCTAAGTTCTGGGCTATAGGCTACTATCAAATAATTATAAATAGCTACACACTAAGGGCTTTCTCTGCTTTATAAACTCTTTATAATCTCAGGAGACACAGAATGAAAGCAGCTATGATTTACATCTTAGTATGTAACCTGAACCTGGGCTGATAGGGATATCCGCACCTTAGTCAGAAATCAGACAAATAAGGGAAATGGATCCAAGAAATCAGATTTCCCAACTTCTGCCTGTTTTAGGTTTCCAGGAAACTACACTGGGACAAGTGCTTTATTGAAAGTTAAGTATCATTTAGGCCAAAGAGGATTAAAGTGTGTTATAACACACACACACATGAGGATAACATAACAAAATTTACCAAACACTTTTTGAAAAAGGGAGGAGGGAGAGAGGTTAAGGGAATATAATTGAGGAGATAAACTTGTTCAAAGTACACTGTACACATCTATGAAATTATCACATCTATGAAACCCCCAAGTACTACCAATGTGTGCTAATTTTAAAAATAAAGTACCAGTGATGTACTAAAAGACTAGCAAGAAGGAAAGAGTGTGACATGGGAGGAAAACTGTAGTACCTGGCCTGGAGATTCTTCCTGAACTGCCACCTTTACTGCTGCCAATGCTGTCACCTCGGGTGAGTATAGAGATTCCGCTGAAGCTGCTGGCTTTGGTGACAGGGGGTCGCATGCTTCGGACAGAGCCATCCGAGTCTGTGCTGCTCCAAGGCCGTGGCTCCAGGGATTTGAGTTCGCTGTCTGTGCTACTCTGGCGGCTGCTTGAGGTGCGGCTCAGCCCTTCGCGGTTCCCCCTGCAGAGACCACAGTGGTCAGAGCACCCCCCACCCCCCAACTTTAGCAGAAGGGCCAGGAAGGAGTTCATTTCTATTTTCTCAATAACAAAGAAGGAGTGAGGATTGGTGAGGGGGGTGTGCGCTGACTTCTTGTTAGTTGGCTGGCCAACTAAGACTTGATGGGAGCAGACAGAACAAGATCCACTACAAAGAGCACAAAGGCAAATCTGAAAGACAGCCCACTGGCAGTTAATTCAATACACTGGACCAGAGGTGGATACGAAGCCATATATATGATGCTGAGATTGGCTGTGGTCTCTTCCCCAGCCCCTGCAGGGATCCCACACATGCAGGAAATGGTGGGAAAGAAAGAGGTAGTAGCTACTTCTGGAAGTTCTTTAAAAAAAAAAAAAAAGACTCCTAGAAGTTACTATTGATAGAAGGCAGGAGTAGCCAGTGATATTGATAAATCCTGCAATAGATCTTTCACATAATATGCACCTAAGCTAGCAGAGGTATTGTTTATGACACCTCTTTTCCAGGGGTTGGAAGAAGAGTACAATGGACAGTCTGATAGTCTGGAACTAACTCATCCTGTTTTATTAAAGTTGTATGTTGGTGCCTGCGAACAATAGGTTTCAAGAGTCTCTGAGGGCGCAGGTCCTCAGCAAGATCAAGCAAATATGCCTAGGGACTCAGAGTAGCAAGGAGTAAGGGGCTTGACTATATCTAGTTTCCTCCATATTCATAAACTCAATGCCCTGGGCAAAGTACGAAACTATTGTAGTAAAGGGGTTTTTCTGCTCTTATTTTGCTCTTCAATGTTAGGATTATCCTGATATTACAGACAATGTCTGTGATTCTAAATACCAGTATGCTTCAAATAGCCAAAGTTGGCCTGAAAACTTGCCTTATTGCGTTCTTTCTACTTTTTAATTAATAAGCAATTAAGAATCATCAATTTTCCTTCATACACCCCCAACAACTATTGACATAAGGAAACTAAATGGCAACAATTACAAGGATTTTGGTATGTATACTACAGAACAGGCTGTTTGGGGGGGTCCCTTCTTTTCACCACCATCCCACCAAAAACAAATAGAAAACCCATTCCAATCACCTTAGCTCCAAAGGTACTATGAGTGGTTCAGAGTTATTCTAATAAAGAAAACTATTTTTTCTTAAGGGGTAAGTATTAAAGAAAACAATTATTCTTTACTAGAATACCTACTCCAAAGGCACTGTAGGGAAAATGGGCAAAATACATGCTAGGGTCACTTTTTTAGTTTTTATTAGCCAAACCAACCATGGGGAGTTAAAAACATGCAGGCACTGCTGGTTAGGAACATGCCAATTCTTCTCTGCCACCCTAAAGTATATATAATCTCAGTGCTTCTCTTTGTTTGGTTAGAATAGGGGATTGCAGAATATTCCTAATATTCCTATTTCCCAAAAACCTTAACACTTTCCCTTTGGCTGCTGAGAGCAGAAAGGGGCTGGCACAGTGGCTTAAGTGGCTCGTCTGCCTAGCAAGTGCAAAGCCCACAGTTCAACTCCCAGTGCTCCCAAAAGCAGAAAGGGAAACAAGAAAGAGGCATTAATCAGGGATTCTCCAAGAACAGAATCATGCCTAAAGTAAGAGGCAATAGCTCTGTCTCAATGGACAAAGGCCAGGATACTGGAAGGACTCAATAACAATTCATGTGTTTGTGGGGTAAGGAGATACAATGATATCAATGGATGAGGCTGATCATTAGACATTAGAATTGAATTTTGCAGGACAAAATAATGGCCTTTTCCACCTCAAACACTTTACTCTCTATTAGGACAACACTGCCATTTATTTTCTCTTGCTACCAGAGGTAGTATAGAGAGATAGACAGTGAATATAGCAACTTTAAACCAAACACCTTAGGAAGTTATGGTCAGAACAGCAGAACTTCTGTATTCATCCAGTTTTCTCAAGATAGTGATGGCTAAATTCTCAAAATGTGGATTGTCTGACGATTTTCTGACTAAACAAGTTTAGTCAGTACACTAAGCAGAGAATCTATGTTAATATTGGCAGGAAAGAGATCAGTTTCCCTCTCCCCCAGATAAACCTAATCTCTAGTCATGGCCTTTATTTCACTAAAAAAATGGCAATTAGGACAGCCACTCAAGTTCAATTTTGAGCACTGGATTGGGTTGTGTGTATGTTAGAGAATGAGGGTAAGGATAAAGAACACTCACACCTCATATTCTTATAAAAATCAGAGATGATTTAGTTTTTATAAGTAGATTTTTGTTTTTTTGAGATACAGTCTTGCTATGTAGTGGAGGTTGACCTCAAACTTCAGATCCTCTTGCCTCAGCCTCCTAAGTACTGGAATTACAGGTGTGTGCCACTATGTCCAGCTTATAAGTAGATTTAATGCTGGTGAAAAGTCCAGTTTGTTGGGTCTGGGGAGGCCTATAAAAGACATGGCAATAAAGTGCAGTAAGTCTCACAGGGGCTAATTTATCAATGGAGTATGATCTTCCAAGGAATTGGGAAGTTGCCACAGTCATTGCCAATGTAGATGATGGAATATGGGTATACTACTGTTTGTTTCACAAACATAAACTGGAATAGAAAAATATAAACTAGTTAGAGATGATCAGTTTCTACTCATTAAAAGTTCTGGACTAGTATCCAAAACAGGAGAAAAAGTTATTCCCTTAAGAGTCCATGATGCTGCATTTTAGATGACCTAGCTCTTTAATCAAAGCTCAGCTTGAAAAGCAGCAGCTTAGAAGGAGATCTGCAGAGGTAAGGACTGCAGTTGCTCACCAGACTCTTCATGCTATTACCTGCACAGTTTGATGTAGCCTGATGCTTCATAGAAGAGCATCATTCTTAGTAGCGAATCTGAATTAGAGCTCTGAATAGAATGTAACTTAGAAAGGAAGGAGTGATTTTTTTGTAGAGAGCTGGTGTGACATAGCGAAAAGAACACCAGACCCAAAAAAAAAACCAGCCTCAGTTTTGCCACGAATAGCCACGTAAATGGGGACCAGCTACTTCATCTCTCTGCTTCTGTTTTCTTAGATGTAAACTAGCTGACCAAATCATGATATTGAAGAATTGAATCAAATAAAGTATACTTTGGCAACCATAAAGCACTGTGAATTAATTCATACACAGGAGTTGGTTTAAAAATTATAGGTATTCTGTGATGATCTGTGACCCTGAAGTGTAGAGAATGGAGTAGTGTCTTTGGTACCACCAACAATGCAAAGCCCTCTCTGGCTGGGGTTTTTAGATGGACCTCAAGGTGGGACAGTCTAGGAAAAAAAAAAAAAAAAAGAGTTCAGAGAGATGGAACTGTTCCAGGCTAAGAATGAGAAATTTCATTATTCCAATTTCTGCATGGTTTGAATTAGCTTTAAAAATGACAATAGGGAAGAGACAACTAAAGAACTAGAAATGTAATGTCTAATTTATTTTGAGTTGGTCAAATAGTCATTATCAAGCTTAGGTTCAAAACCTGAGAAACCCTTTGGAAAGGGCTAGCCCCGAATTACAGCTTAAATATTAAGGATCTCTGTATTCTATAGTTCTTTGTTGGCAAATTGGGAAGAAAATGTACTTAAATGGGTTGTTACCAGCATAGGATTCTAAAGCAGTGTTCCTCTCACTTCCATCTTTTATTATCCCTTGTGGGTAAGACTAAGAGATTAAAATGAAAGGCAGATTCTTATGTTTGTTTTGTGGGAGAATGGAGAACATTAGGCACTGGGGAAGTTAATATACCAAGCAGCAGCTTTTGCCAGCATGAAGGGTAAGTAACAGATGACCATAGAAAGGACATGCTCTAAGTCCATTCTAAGGCAGATAGGCCCTTTTATCTTATGTATTACATTGTCTCAAAGAGAAGACTACAGAGTCAGAGACATTTGTATGTATATTTATATATGCATACATTTTTTTTTCCCCTAAAGATCCAAAACATTCCCTGTGCTGGGGTGGGGAGAAGCTTTCCACATCTTTCCATAGACATAAAAGGTAGCCAGAAGGCAACCATTCATTTACCTTACTATGGGTATATGTTTGAATCTTTTAAAAATGCCCAATTCCAGCAAACCTGTGGAAGGGAGCAATACCTGTCTCAGACACATCTAGTTGGTCCCCACCTATTCAGGACTCAGAATAAAACAGGCCAATAATAAAAATAAAGTCACTGGGCAGGAGCCATTTTTTTTAAATGAGAAAAAATTTCAATGTTGCAAAAACCACAGACTTAATTATTCCACAAGCAGCCATGCATGGAGCAAAACCCATTCTGCTGAAAAGATTACAGCAAAAGAAAATTAAATTAAAAATTAAATGGAGAGAAATAGATCACACAGAGGTACCTAAAAATCTGCCTTCTCTTGTGAGAGCTAGAAGAAAAGGCTTCTTTGGAGAGTCTGTTGGTTAACATCAAAAACAAAACAAAACAAAACAAAAAAAGCATCATTACAGGATTATAGTAACCTCACTGACAAAGCTCAATGAGAAGCAGGGAACATGCTAAGTGGTACTAACCTGATGTCATTTAGATATCCGTTCTGGCCAGTCTAGGTGAGGGGGAGAAAACGGAAAATAACTTATAAGAAAACAGCATGGCATAACCGAAAAGGATGTCCATGATGCTATGAATACCCAAGGTCCTCAAACCAAAGCTCACCCCACCAACAGGGAGAGAGGGAGCAGGGACAGGATGACCCATACCCACATACCCAATCTGACTTCTCACCTTTAATGGGGAAGAATATTTGGCATTTTTAGCCTTCCCACAGAGTTTAAAATCAAGATTGATAAAGGAGTATGGAAAGGAGGAAAAGGAAAATTATTAACCTAATTATTTCCTTTTTAGCTCTAAATTCATTGCTTTAGGAGTAAGCTTAGCATAATAACGATGTGCTTGATCCTGAAGGGTGTGTTCAAATGAAGGGGAAAGGGAGACATGAGAAAGAAACTTCAACTTTTGGAAATCACCCTCAATTACTATTCTCTTTCTATCCTCTACACTGGCAAATGAAAGACATTGTGACCTAAGACCCAAGGAGGGTGGGATATTAGGGAAGCAGGTACTTTTCAGAGCCTAGAAAAAAAATGATAAAATTAAAAACCTGAAGTAGTCCCACTGGGGATCATTTTCTGACAAAGTCACTGAGATGAGTGAAGTGAGCATTATAGTAGACTCCCAAAGCCTCAGAAAAAGGTACAATGAGTGTCTAGCTGCTGAGCGGAGTGTGCGCTGCAAAAAGCAGAGCATACATTGAGCAGCTTTCCCAATACACAGCTCAGTCTTCAGAGAAGGCTGCAGCAGCAGCATTTCCATCCAAACACCCTTCTTGCCACTTCCCTTTCTCTTTGGTCTGCCTCCTATCCCCACTCCACTCCCCAAACCTACAACTCCACCCTTAACCACTCCTTCTGACTGTCCTGGCTCCTCTTCACATGGGATATTTGGAAGATGTTGAGTTTTGGCCATTTTTCCTTTTCTAGACCTTCTGATATTCTTGAGCCCTCTACCACAACAAGAGCTAGGAAGTGCTGAAATGACAGTGATTTATAAATCCTCAAGGATTTAACAAAGAATATATATTTTAGTAGAGGCTTGAGAGACTAGAAATCAGGAGGAAAAAGGAGAGAAGAGCTAACTTTGCCTTTGTTATGGCTGTAGGTAGCTATATTCCACTGTTGTTGATAACTAGTTCCCAAACCCTATTATAAGCTGCCTAGGCTTTCTGATCATCTGTGGCTTTGCTAAGGGCAGACATGGGGAGGGCAGTCGTTTTCCATGTGTCAGTGAAGCAGAGGAGCGTACACAGATAATCAGCTAGGTTATGCTGTCACTAAGACTTCACAATCTGAACAGAGAGAACAAGCTATCAAGAGGTAGTTTAAATTGGGGGTTAAGAACATGGACTTCAGAGCCAGACTGCCTGAATTCAAACACCAGCTCTTTTGCTAACTAGCAATGTGATGTTAGTGGTGACAGCCTCTTTGTACCTCAGTTTCTCATTTACAAAATGAAGGAAATAATATAACCTACTTTACAGGCCTGGTGTGAGGATTACATGAGTTAACTTACATAAAGTACTGAGAACAGTGACTAAAAAAACAGTAAGCACTACAGAAGTATTTGCTATTACCCACCAACCTGTTCTATCTACACTTTAGGTCATCAATGACCACAACCATGTACAAATGACATCTCTCCTCTCATTCCACCCAACTGGTTTGCAGGTAAAGGTAGAGAACCCCCTTTTAGCTATGGTGAGATAATTTGGAGGATGTACTTTTCTGACTCAGAATGGACATCTATAAAAGAAGATTCCTTCTCCTTGGACTTAGGCAAGAAGGCTTGTCATGTTATCAGTCCCCAGAAGATCCCTAGAAGCACTTGGCTCTCTTGAGACTATGGAACAACAAGTACATAGGAGTTCAGTTTTTAGTTGGAAACAATATTTTTCTGAGTGAGGTGATGATGGAAAGATAGATACATACACACACACACACACACACACACACACACTCACACACACAAACATAATTTTGTAGGGGGTCTCAGTGAGAGAATAGAGAGTGGGGGAATGGGAGGAGAGTAGTGTCCATCTAAGTATATTGATTTAAAACTTCCTTTATTGCTAATAGACTGTAAGATGTTCTGCTATCTGGAGCCTACACTTTCTGGAACTCTTTTATCTCATGACTACCCATACTATTTCTTGAATTTCTGACATACAACTACTGGTTGGCAAAGGCAACCAGATATAGGAGAAACAAATATATTTGATACGGTCCACAGTTCTTAAGAACAAATTTGCCTAAATTGATTGATGTTGACTTCTGGGCCAAGGAGCCATTCCTCTTCTGAAAGCAAGTAAGAAATATAGGAAAAAGACTTCCTGTTCAGGTGTGAACTGGAGGGAACTGGGGTACTCTAGGCATGTGGAATGTGGAGTTGCAGAGGACAGACGTCAGAACAGCACTCTAACAAACACCAACATATCCTAAAAACAAAGCTGGTCAAATAAGATGCATGTAGAGCCTGTGAGGACACCAAGTCTTCTATTTAGAAGCAAAGATGCCTAGAATGGATAGTGGGAATCTAAGAGGGTAAGTGGGAGGAGGGTTTGACAGGCAAGACTCAGGGCCCTTTCATCAGCCCTGCTGGAACCATTTCTATTTTGTCTAGTCATATATTTACCAAATTCAGCCACTCCAAGTTTTGGTTCTTTTTGTATACCATGTAGCAGAATATATTAAAATAAAAACCTGCAGCTTCCCAAAAAAGCCATATTTAATTTTAGAGGTCAAATCTGGGACTGACTGATGTTGGTTTTTTTTTTTTTAAAAAAGAAACAAACAAAAAACCCAACAACATTTATGGAGGGTTCATTCCATTCACAGTTCCAAAGATTAAGAGCTAAAAGCTATGGGCTGACAACTCTCAGAAGCTACACTTACCTCTCGGGCAAATATTCTCTCTCGGACCCTTTGATATTCCTCCTCTCTCTCTTCTATTGACTTGCTCCTCCTTCCATCCTGCAATGGAACTCTGATCTAGATCGATGAGCAGAATTAAGCTAGTTAAGTTCTCCTCGTACTGCAAGCTCACTGCACACCAGCAAGGAAGAGAAACCGGGAAAGTTTATAGTTGCCATCAAAAAAATGGAAAATAAAGAAATAAAATTTCCAGTCCTGGACAGGCTTTACTGGGTACATCTGACCATGCAGTTTGGGAGATCAGGTTTTCTGGATGGTTGAGGACTCTCCATCTCCCCCACCCTCCCAGAGTATCAAGAATAACAACTATTTATAAGGATTAGGTTGCTTCCCTATAATAATCAGTCAGTAAGGATCAAGAAAATAGCTCTGGGAAAATAAACATTGCTTTTGAGGCTAAGTAAGGGAGAAAAGGAAGCTAGAAAGGGAGAAGAAACAGGTGTTTGGCAGAGCTGAATGTAGAGGAGGTTTTCAGAACTAGTACCTGACATTATCCCTTCTTTAGTCACTAATGCCATGGCGTGAAGACCCAAGACACACACGGCTTACCAAAGAGGGCCTGGGAAATGAAATCCCAAGGGCGAAGCTAAACTCAAAGCCTAAACATTTTTCTTCATTTTAATTATAGAAATTGAAGGACAAGGAGAGAAATTATAGAAATACAGAAGAAACAGAACAGAGCAACACAAAGAGAAGAGGAAGAAAAAGAACAGAATAGGGGGAAATGCGCAGAGAAAGCAACAGATAAATGAGAAACAGTTGAAGGGAGGGGAGAGGAAGATAGAAAAGGAAAAGAAGAAAATGGAGAATAGAGAACTTTATGTTCTCTGACAAATGCAGTGAGGTGACCAGCAGGGATGCCTGGTTAGATCACCACTTCTGGGTAGCCACTACCTAACTCCCCATCATTTTTTTTTTTTTTTCCCTTTCTTGGCCTGCCATTTGTGAACCCTATCCTACAGAGGGTGTGACAGCACCCTCATAAAAGCAAGGAGCTCTGTGGAAGAACTTGTCAAATGAATGTCATCAAGTCACTGACAATTCCGATCTTTAACCTAGAGGGTTTGAAAGCTTCAAACAAAGCTCTAAGGAGCCTGATGTTCCTGATCCTCACCAGTCTCCTAAGGCAGCCCAACTTCAGGAGTCACCACTTTGACTAGATTTAGTTCTCACTATCCTTTACATCCTACATCCTACTAACTATCCTCCTGCTAATTCCATTCCAAGACAACACAGGACCCTCAAGGAGCTACACTGTCATGAGTTCCTAGCACTGGTAAACCAATGACAGAATAAAAAGAGCATAATGGGCTGTGAGGTCAGGCAGAAATCCTAGCTCTGCCTCTCTCAGTAATGTAACTTCAGGCAAGTAACTTAATATCTCTTTGCCTCAGTATTCTTAAGTGTAAAGTGGGGCTAATAACCCCATCTACATTGGGTTGTGGAGAGTATTAAAAGAGATAACGTATATAATGTGTTTAAAGCACAGCTTAGTTCAGGGAAAACACTCAATAAAATAGCAGCACTGTTCTTATTAAATCACAGATAAAAAGTGCACAGAGTCCACCTTATTACAGATCAAGTCTGAAGCTAAGAGATGAAAAGTTCACAACAGGGACAGATTTCATTTGCCCCAGTGTACTTCTAGGCCTGAGTAATTCCTGACCCACAGAAAAAGGGTTTTGGGAAAATGGAGAGAAGGGCATCAGGATGGAAAGGCTCTTACTTTTTTTTTTTTAATTTTTTTATTTGTCTTTTTGTATGTTTCTTTGCTTTCAATCAGACCCAGCGTATTTGTCCACATTAGATAATAACGCTTTTTTCAAAAAGGCACCCTCTAATATTCAAGCAGCAAGCAAGAAAAGTCCTGGTCTCAAGAGTGTAACATTCCAAGACAACTAATTTTGACTCTGCAGATAAGATATTATTACAGTTATCATTAGTCAGCAAGACTCGTGTTGGCTATACCCAACCATGCTCTCCAAATCTAATCCCCTTTAGAGGTCAGGCAGAAGCAGGCTGAACCTAAACCCTCTACTTAGCTAGGAAAACTAACCCCCGAACAATCACTGACTGTCTATACAGGGTGGGCCAGAGGTCAGAGCAATAGCTAGGCCCATAAATGGATAGGACAGCTTGTTCATTTCTTATTTCCCCAGGTATGGATCACAAAGGGGATACTACCTAAGGTTCCCAACATCAAAATTCAAATGAACTCACCTTGGCGGGGAGAGGTGGGAACAAATTAAGGAGTTTGCAGAAAGGGATCAGAGACATTTTTGTATCTGGTTAAATTACACTACAACTTGGCCAATTCAAGGCTAGCCCTGAGCTAGGATAAGAGTGGAAGTGGGATAAAGTAGCTTTTGGTGGTTCCTAAAGGAATACCTAACTATTAAAGAAAAAAAAGAACGAAACCATCAGCTTGATCGAGGCTGAGGGCAGGGAGGAACCTTGCTTTGCCCAAAATGATACGTAGTTAGAAGTCAGTGGCAGACCCAAGGAGTTCTAACCCAAATGAGATCACCCAGCAAATATCAGCACCATGTCTGTCTGGAGCTAAGAGGGTGGCATCCAGTTTAACAACCAGTCAGTTCTCAATGTTAAGCCAAAGACAACTCCATCCTAAAATATTTTGAGCTTTCTCCATCCCACAAAAATTCTTCTCCCTTCCCAGTTTCTCTTACTGCAGTCTCTCCTCTCTAGGCCCACCCTTTCCCATTCTTCACCTGGTTATCATCTCGGTCCATACTGGCATCGTCTCTCTTGAGAATGAATCTCTGTTGAAATTCTGTATTCTTCTCATCCTTTATATGTTCTGAGAATCTCTGCTCAGGGCTGAGATTTTGAAAGAAATGTGAAAGGAATTAGAGAAAAAGACCATTTTGTTAGGAAAGAGACCTCCTTGCTATGATTCTCCTAAATTCCACAACTCCTACTCAGAGAATGTATGGAGTCAGGCATCCAAAAGTCACATCACATGAAGGTTTTAATGAAATTTGTAACTTCTCTTCCTCCAAAGCATGACTACTCTGTTAGTGAAGGGGAAGAAAGGCTAGGACAATCTTCACGAAATATTAGTGCCTCTAGAATCTGTCTCTAAGACCTCACACAAAGTTGGAAATGATAATATAAACTCTCCATCCCATTCCCTAGAAGAGATATCTTGATCCTACACTTTCCTTTTCTATCCCAGCAGGCTACCCCAGGAAAGTTTCCTTCCTTACATTCTTGTATTGCTGGTTTTGTTGATGATGACAGCTTTCCCAGTTTGATCAACATTGTGGTCCATCCCAAAATAGGCAGCTACCCGGTGTAATAGCATCCGGTGATATGAGGTCATCTGAGGGAACTTCTTGAACTGGTTACTGAAGAGAAGCCCAGGGGAAAAAGTAAAACAAACAAAGAGCAATAACAGCCAGCCATAATTTTTCTTTTTGTTTTCCTCCTTATTTTTGTTACTACTGGGGTTTGAATCCAGGGCCTCATGCTCTACTACCTGAATTATGCCCCAGCCCTGTAATTTTTCTTACAAAAATTGAAAGTGAATTTATTAGCAATAGATATACTATAAGGAAGACAGATATTTACTCAGTGGGAACCAAAAAGGTTTCTCTCAGTATTTTGCAGATTACTTTGATCTATCTTCATTAAGACTACTGTTTTTGTTTGTTTGTTTGGTGGTATTGGGGTTTGACCTCAGGGCCTCATGCTTGCTAGGCAGGTACTCTACCACTTGAGTCACTCTGCCAGCCCTAGACTATTCTTAAGGCCTTGGACAACCCCACCTGGATGATGTTTGAGAAAGGAAAAAGGGAGATACTTAAGAATAGTAAAACCTGGAGCAAAGCCTGCCTGTTGAAAAGACAGAAAATCTTTTTCTCAAGTCTATGCAATAACTTAAAAACCTCACTTGTTTTTACAATACACTTTTTAATACATTCTTATTGCTTCTCCCTAACTCTTTTTGTTCCCCAGGGAGTAATTATTTCACTCTCATTTTTATGGAAAAATGAAAGAGGAATGTTCTAAAATTGTACATAAATTTCTTTCCAGTGTCCCCTCCCACCTCTAAGTGCATACTTCATATAAGCAACTTACTTGTTGTCATTAATAAATTCCAGAATCTCCTGTTCTAATTTTAGCAGCATCATTCTGTCCCTGTTTAAAAAAGATTAAAACAAAACAAAACACAGACCTCCCATAGACATCGAAAGCAGGGATTGAAAACACAACTTATTCACTACAAAAGTTGAAGGGAAGGATAGACCCAAACTCCAGTAATGGACCATAACACAGAGGCTACTGACCTCACTAGCCTATCCTATGGTATTCTGCAAAAGAAAACAACCCAAGTATATACTTTGCAGACCTCTCCTAATTATGTACTTAGTTATCCATATCAGAAATCTAACTGTCAGCAGCATATTCATATACACATATACTACATGCTTATAAATCTAATCACTATTCTACATTTCATTTGGTTATTCATAGAATTTTAAAGCAATTATGATCTAGCTTATGTACAAATCAATTATCTTTTTCATCTGGTCTTCCTAATCAGGAAGCTCCTAAGTCTTCATATTTCTTTGTCTCTTTATTCTTCTTTTAGCACTGGGGTTTGAAATCAGGACCTCATGCTTGCTAGGCAGGCACTCTTACCGGTTGAGTCACTCCACCAGCTCAGTCTTGGCATTCTTCTTCCACAGTTTTTCTCAACTCTTCCAAAAGCAGAAACCTCAATGTGAGGTATTCTGAACCCCTTATAGAATATAAAACTATATCCTCCTGAGGAGAAGAACACCCTAGGTTCTAATAATGGGAAAATTCAGTGAAGCTTAGTCCTTTGGAATGCTGTTGGCCCCTGTCTCCTTTCCCTCTTACAGCAATCATGTTATTACCTTGGGTTCTTTTTCAGTGTATTTACAAGAAATTCATGTAGGTCAATTCCAGTGGAGTCCGTATATTCTTGGCTGGAGTCTAGAATCACCACAACAAAAGAAAGTTAAAATAAATTAAACTGCTTTGCATGGTATGTAATTCTAAGCAAAAGTCTACAATCAGAAAAAACAAAAACAGGAAACTGGATTCAAACTTCAGGGTTTTAGCATAAAATCTAGAATGATCTTAATTGCCAGTCCTGCAAAAGTCCCTACCACAACAACAAAAGGAAGAGTCTGGGTCATAGTGTTATATCAGTATTATATTGAAATGCTACCCTTTCATTAATATAAGTTTTTTGCTGAATGTCTTGATAAAAATAAAGCAGGTTTTATTCTAGCTAAGGAAAACAGATAACAGATAAGGGCAGTTGGGCTAAATTTTCCAGAATCTCATTAAATATGCCAATATTGATTTTTTTTTTTTTTTGCAGAACTGGAGTTGAACTCAGGACCTTGTGCTTGTTACGTGGGCATTCTACTGCTTGAGCCACTCCACCAACCCAGTTTTTTTATTTTTGTTTTTTTGTGGTACTGGGGTTTGAACTCAGGGCCTCATGCTTACTAGGCAGGTGCTCTTATCACTTGAGCTACTCCATCAGTCCTATAGTTCTTTGTTTTTTGAAACAAGGTCTCACTATGTACCCCATGCTGGCTTGGAATTCACTATGCATACCAGGCTAGTATTGAACTCCTGATCCTCTTCCCTCAGCCTCTGGAGTGCTGGGATTACAGGTATGTACCACCATACCTGGTTAAGTATTATTTTTAAACCCAAGGTTGCCTTTACTTATCAATTATCACTTTTATGTACTATGTCTTTTTGCAAAAGCCTTTGGCTTTAAACTTCAAAGTAGACCTGCATTATCTTCTTTAAAAAATCAATTCAGCCATCCTAAAACCAAAATACATGTTATTTGGAGAATCTGCTATCATGATTATCCATGCCACCATTTATTCCAGAGCACAAATAAAATCAGAATTGACTACATTGTCCTGCCCTGGGTAGTGCCAATGTAGACAAGAGTACCGCTCTGTGGCATGTGAGCCCCGCAGGCAGGGCTGGTTAAAGAAGCCAAGGAGTTAACCTAGTTAGGTACCTCCCCAAGCAGCTAAGTCAAAGGACACTATAAGTAGATGGGTCAGTGAAGCCAACAGGTACCAGGTTTAGGATAAAACACAATAGCACAGTACAGCCAGGCATTTGTCAGATGAGAGATGGGGAAGTCCTCACCTCTGGACAGCATCTTCCTTGGAACCTTTTCCTTGCTTTTGTCCTTTTCTTCCTTTTCAGAGACATCCTTTGTAGACTTTTCTTCCTCCTTGTCAGAGGGACAGCTGATATGCAGTTGGATTATATCCTTAAACAAAGGAAAAGAAGAACAGAATCAAAGAGGAAAAAGGATTTTAACTCTCTGTGACTCCCTTAGAATCTCAATGGAGGCAGCCCTTGGGGCAGCAGCTTTATTTTACAGAAGACTCTATGTTGTTGTTGTTGATTTGTTTTGATGGTACTAGGGTTTAAACACAGTCTCACGCTTGCTAGGCAGGCACTCTATCGCCTGAGCCACACCACCAGCCCTGTTGTTAATTAAATTATTTTAGTTTTGTTCTTCCAAGAGGGTAAAGGCCAAGTCTTTTTTGTCAGCAGTCACAGCCTACTATATGAAGAGCTCAAGTTACACTATAAGGACTGGATGCTAATCATTCTAACCACCAGAGGGAAGGGATATGGATAGGGAAACAGGATCATCCCTGAGATCTCCTTGTTTACCCTGGATGGTTGAGACAAGAAGACCTAAACTTCATGTTCTCACCATATCCTTCCCTTACTGAAACAGCTTTTATTTTTAAGCACCTTCCTTCCTGATTTCCAGGCCTGATACTGATGCTGTGACTGTTATGCTACACTTTACCAAACAACTGCCATGTTCAAAAGCTACACTTAGGCTTATAAAGGACCTACCTGGGTTTCTAGTGGCCCATCAACAAAGGGGGTGGAGGACTCCTCACATACTGCCAGACTGCGCACCAACTTCAGCTTGGAATTAGACTGAAAAAAAACAAAAAAACAAATTCACATATATATTCCCTTGGTGAACATTTAGAAAACATCCTCTTTGGCTCTGGTTAGTTACTGCCTCTTTAAATACAGTTGTTGTTGCTTTTCCAAATAAGTCCTCCTTGACAGTACCTGGTTCACTTGAAAGGTAATTCTCCTGCTTACAACAACAGACATGTGAAAACAAAATGACTACCTGGACAGATAGTCCAGAAAAACCACTTCGCTTAGCCCTCTTCTCTCTCTAGCTCAGTGTTCCAATTTCAGATTTCAAAGTTTACTGCAAATACACATCAGCATAGCACTACAGAAAGACCCTGGACTTGAGAACCAGAAGTCCTAGCTTCAACTTCTGATTTTCCACTATAAGCTATAAGACTGACCTTTCTAGGTCTCCATTTCTCCCCAGCAAGATTGGGATAAAAATCCTAAAGGTCTGCTGTGAGAATCAGATGACATAAAGTATGTAAACATATATATCATTAAATAGTGCTTAGCACAGATAGACAGACAATAAATGCTAAATGACACAAACCCTGAGATAGGAAGGGTATGTAAGGAAGTATCTTAAGGAATGAGTAAAAAGAAAGGCAAAGAAAACATTATAACACTTGGGATTTAATGTAATAGAAACTTAATCCACTTGCTTTACTTCTGCTGGATGGGGAATCCCAAAAGATCTGAAATCCACTATGGAAATCACTACTTTCCTAGGGATCCCAAAAGCCAAAAAATGTATAATGACTTATTAGAAATCACTTATAAACATTTGTGAGTGTTCTTACAATAACATTAAGGTTTAAAGTGAACACAAAAGCACAAAACATGTTATGTGTACTCCGTGTAGGGCTGGGAAATACTGGAGAAGAACTTGAGATTCTGAAGAAAAAAGTATCAAGCCTAATTCTGCCACTAACTGCTAAATGTCTTTTGTTAATTGTACTCAGTCTCTACAGCACAAGTTACCTCATCTGCAAAATGGGGATAATGACTCTTATTTATCTTAAAAAGTTTGGGAGGACCTAAAACAGCAGTGAATATCTTTTGTTCTGAACTTTATTGTCAAGGTTATCACTATAGATTAATTAGGCCATGTTGAGATAAGACAGAGATAATTTATCATATTTCTTGCCTTTCTTTTTTTTTTTGGGGGGGGGCAGTTCTGGAATTTGAACTCAGAGCCTCACGCTTGCTAGGCTGGCACTCTTACACTTAAGCCACACCACGCAGCCCACTTTTTGGTTTTCTTCAAACTGAAGCCCTAAGCTGGCTGAGCTACTCCCAAATTCTATCATTAATTTTCTGGAGGATCATACTCTCTGAGGAGTATGATCTGGATGTTCTAATGACTGTAATACCCCTAATTATTACTGCTGGTAACAATTCTCAGTGAGTGCAAGAAAATTTCAGTATTTTACTGCCCCCCAGATAAATTAAAAAGCTACTGCATACTAACATATATAGTCATCCCTAATTTCTTAAAATAATCTGTAATGTGCTAATTTTATCAAGCAATAATTAAAAATAAAATCCTCTTCCCACTGGGCATAGTGGTACAAGCCTATAATTCCAGCACTCTTACAGGCTGAGACAGGAGGATCCCAAGTTCTGGGCCAGCCTGAGCCACAAGACTCTGTCACAAACACATACACAAACCCAAAACAAAATGAATCAAAAGGAATAGATGAAAATACTCTTATCTACCCCAGTGTAAAAAGTGAAACATTAAAAAAAAAAAAAAAAAGCCAGGTGTGGTAGTTCATACCCATAATTCCAGCACTTGGGAGGATAAGGTCAGAGGATCATGAGTTTAAGGCCCCTGGGCTGTATGAGTCCCAGACTAGCAAGGCCTACATAAGAGTAACTATCTCAAAAATCAAAACAAAACAAAACAAAAAAAAGAAGGTGGTTGTATGTTCAGAATATCCAAAAATGATGAGTCATTTCTACTAATGGGGCAGGATTTATCTTAGAAGAAAATCCACCTGAGGGGAAAAAAGAACACAAAGGGGAATTTCAACACTTATACAACTAGCCATTTTCTAGAGAAGCCAGGGGTGAGCAGAGAAACTGGCATTTCAGTACATTCAGCACCAAATTCTCTCAGACTCTGTGGAAGGCTCCAGCTGGGTATTCTTTCAGGCATCAGAAAAAGAATGTGACCTAACTATAGATAATGGAGAAAAACAAAGCCAGACGTTTTATTCGGAAATATGTGTATGTGTGCATGTGACTGTGAGTCACATTCAAAAACTTATTACTAATAACACTAGAAAATAAGCAATAGAGAAGGGCTCTCACCTTGGCTCTTTTCCTGGCATGACTATGGCTGGATGTCCGTCTCTGTTAGAAGGGGATTGGAAAATATTAAAGGTGGGGAAAGTCAACACTTAAATTAAAAGCAATACATACTAACAACAAAAAGCACTATTATAAAAATCATTTCAACTGCTGCCAAACTATGATGAAAATCATTTGTTGGTGTTGACCTATTCTAACTCCAGCAACTGTGACATGGAATGGACCCAGACCACCTATACTCAAATCACCATTCACCATGAAGTAGAGAAGAAACACAATGTTTTTTTTTTTTGTTGTTTTATTTTGATTTTTGGCAGTATTGGGGTTTGACCTAAGGACATGTGCTTACTTAGGCCGAGGTTCTACCACTAGAGCTACCCCCACCAAGAACATGGTAATTTACTGGCTTATTTCACAGATTGGTAAAAATCACTTTTGGATAAAATATGGATGGGATCTTCTGATGAGTATGATCTGGAAATGTCATTACCATACCACAAGAGAATTTTTTCTTCCAAGCTTGTTCACAGGAGCCTATTTAATCAATAATGTACATGAAATATGGTCCCTAACTATCACTTAAAATAACATGATTATGGGACAGCACAATCAGAGTTCCAACTTGAGACACCCAAAACACCCAAACCTATACCTGCACAAATAGAATGAAGAGTCTGCCACCATTTCTAAGGCCCTGGTGGAGACTCTTATCTCATAGCTTGTCTGAGTCAGAGATGTGAGATGGGACAAGTTAAAAAGAGTATGGAAGGGATAAGACATCCATAGCAAAGGGGAGAGAGAGTGGGTAAGGAGCAGAGCATAAGCTTCCTCAGCTTATGGAGAATGAGGGCCTAAGATGGGAGGGAAGGAATAGTAAATTAATTGCTAAGATTTCTGAACATGTGAGAAGTCAAAATGAGGGCTTTAGGGAAGGAGTTGGGTATGGAAGGAGTAGAATCTTTAATGCTATTTTGAAGAAGTATTTGTTCTTTTAGAAAATAGTAGAGGGGAAGAACTTCCTAAGTCTGCTCTGTAGGATCCAGGATGGTGAAAAAGACTAAAGACTATACAAGAACAGGAGTTCCAGTAGATGGCAGTAGCTTCACCTCTTCTGGTGGCAGCCAAAGGAGTCAAGTTAGAGTCAGAGGGAAGGCAGGTCCCCTCCAACTCCAACTGACTCACAAACTATTTGTATACCCAGGTATAAAACCTATAAACGTTCTTTCTTTTTCTTCTTTTGAGACAAGGTCCCACTACGTAACCTGGATTGACCTCAAACTTGTTATCTTTCTGCCTCAGCCTCCCAAGTGCTGGGATTATAGATCTGAAGCACGATGCTCAGCCTAAATGTCCTTTCTTTACTGCCTATCTTTAAGAAGTACACACAAAAAGAGTTCAGAATATCATTCATAATAGTCTCCTGAGAACAGAATAACTTGGATCTAAAAGTTCTTTTAATTACTAACTTTCCTGTAATTTGACAGCACATAATTAAACACTCATCACCTATCTGTCCTATTTAAAATTCGTTATTGGTATCAGTGGAGGATGGAAGTATAGCTGGAACTGTGGCAGACTGTCTCAACAAACTCTGGAAGCATGGGCAGGGAACGACAACTCACATGTAAAAGAAAATGGAGAGAAAAGCAGCTGGGACAAGATGTGGCAAACTGTATAAGGAAAGACAGTAGAAAAGCAGGCAGATAGTGAACAAAACATTTCAGAGAGCTGTCTCATTTTAATTCATTCCTTTATGTTGCTGCTGCTTTAATCTTTAAAGAAGACAAGGTCTAGGTGAATTAAGTTGTCTTGAAAAATTATGCTTCAAGTTTCCAGATCTTCCAAAATGCTGTTTCTCCTACCTTTTAATCTAATTTATTGCTAGAGTTAACAGTCTATCTCTTGGACTTATAATAAAGACCAGTCTCACCCTTGGGCATGATGGAAAGGATTTACAGAAATTGGGCTTGTGTAACAGAAGAAACCAGCTGTGACCACACACACACACACACACACAGAGCGAGAGAGAGAGAGTACTTTAAACAAGTAGGTTAGAAGAGGCTCAGAGTCTGGCTAGCTGGGCAACAAAGAAGAACCTTGGTAGAAGCTTAGCTGACAATCTACTGCCAATATTTCTGTACTGCAATATGTAACTGGATGAAAAACATGGCAACCAAAGAGTAAAATTCCACACTCACATTTATCACAAAACCATTTCTGACCCAGAAAATGCTGACTGCTTTAATGCAACCAGGATATAAGTTTAACACTGTGTATAAAGCAAATAGCTCTACTTTTAGTACTTTTGCAACACCACGATGCTCCCGATCTCCACTTTCCAAGTAGACATGAGCCATTGCACCTGGCCTACAGTTTTTTTTTTTTTTTTTTTTTGTGGCAGTACTGGGGTTTAAACTCAGGGCCTTGAGTACTTGCTAGGTAGGCACTCTACCACTTGAGCTATGCCCCAACCTTTTAGCTTTGGTTATTTTTGAGACAGGTTCTCTCTTCATGCCCAGGCCGGCCTGAATGGAGAGCCCCCTATTTATGCTCTGCTCATGGCTGAGGTGACATCCAGCTTTTATTGTTAAGATGGGGTCTCACAAACTTTTTGCCAGGCTGGCCTCAAATTGTGATTCTCCTGCTCTCTGCTTCCTGAGTAGCTAGGATTACAGGCGTGAGCCACTGCACTTGGCATCAGCTCACTTTTTTGTAGTTAAAATCAAAATGCAGCAAATGTAGCAAAAACCAGTGAACTTGGGGTCCACATGGATTAGGGATTTCATTCTATCCTTTTTAGACTTTATCATTGACTATGACAAAACAGGGAGGAGATGTTTTTTGAGGGCTCAATTTGAGGTTCTTTGGCCATACTGGGGGTTTGAATTCAGGACCTCCTACTTGCTAGGCAGGCACTCTAATGTTAGAGTTCTTAAGAAACATTCAAGTATTCAAATTGGTGACGGGATTCTTTAGAGACTTCCACTTCTATTCAGGTATAAAGAATGTGCACACAACACCCAGCTAATCCTTACCTGTGTCTCCTGACGCAAACTGTTATCTTCACCTTCTTTCTCAACTTCTTCCTTACTTGGAGTCTTGGATGTAAATTTGCTTTTGTTTACAGATTCTTCCACCAGCTTTTTTTCTGACTCTTTCATTATTTCCAGAGTCTCTTGAGTAGTGTTACTGTTAGACATGTTCTTCAAAAGAATACAGTAGTCTCTATGGATTCCTAAAGAAACATTAACGGCATTAAACAGGAGGCATGTTTCCATACTTAAAAACACATACAAGACTTGTATTTCACATATATACATTTTTTCCAGCAGTCTCCTTTCAACCTAAAAAAGAGACATTTGTAAGTGCTGCCCCTGGACTCATTTTTTTACTTTTTTCATTTTACTGAGGTAAAACTGACAAAAACAACAAAATAAACTGCATAGAGTGTACAATTTGGTGACATATTTACAACATATTTGTACACCTGTGAAGCCATCACTACAATTGAGATAATGAGCACGTCCATAATCTCCAAGTTTCCAAATGCCTATTCATAATCTCTCCCTCCCCTCTCACCACCCCCAGCCAGCTCCTATCTATTTTCTTTCACTACAAATTAATCTGCATTTTCAAGGTTTGGGCAAGGGTGGCGGTGCTGCTGGAGATTGAACCTAGGGCCTCAGGTCTATAAAATTTCCAGAATTTCATATAAATGAAACTGTACACTGTCTAGACTTTTACTTAGCATAATTATTTTGAGATTTGCAGCATTCAGTTCTAAAGCAATTTAGTGTGAGTCCTCCTGGCACTATATACCCTCCTTTGTTCCCTATAGAAATTTTTTCACATTTCCAGCTCTAGTACTTAAGTCACTAGATTCTTTCCAGAAAGAAGAAAAATACATCATAAAGCTCTATTCACCACTAGAAAGAAATACCCTCCTTTCCCAAGAGAATCTTCCACAGCTACCACAAGCCACAACATTGTTACCAGCTTCAAAATACTCCTCATCAAAACTTGGCAAAATTAGACAATGGTTATAGAATCTCACATTCTTTCCTTTATCTCAAGCAAGCTGAAAAAGCAAGAAGAGACCTTTCTAGCCATCTGTCCTTCAGAAAGATTGGGTCTCTCCTTGGAGAAGGAAAGAATGTTTGCTTTGGTATTTGTTATTTGGATTCAGTAAACCTTACGGCCTCGCAATGATACAGTTATCTATGGTGAAGGCGTGATCATTCTTTATCATTATTGCTACCTGGGAAATGCTGTACTGAAGCCAAGGTCCTCCAAGCACACACTAAGAAACAAGATGATGCTCTATACACAGATTCATGTCTTCAAGTACTAAGTCAAACATGCTTGGTTCTGACAATGGTTTCATAGAGGTTTCTCCTTACATGGGTTACTAAATGTACTTCAATCCTAAATAGTTCTTTCTTTCCTTTAAAAAGACTACAAACCCTACAAACTGAGCTAATTAAAAAAATAAATGTTAGCAATGCTTCAAGAAAATTGTCATACCACAAATTTTCTTTCCTTCTAGTCAGTTTAAAGGATAAGACTCAAAAGGCTCTCAAGAGGCACAGGTAGCCTCATCTGATACAACTTACCGATAGTCTGTAAGATTTTTGCTTTGTCTACCTGTGGTGGTTCCTGAGCAGCTACTTGGAGACTTTTTTTTTTTTTTGGTGGGACTGGGGTTTAAATTCAGTGCTTCATGCTTACAACGCAGGAGGTCTACTGCTTGAGTCACAATTCCAGTCCATTTTGCTGTGGCTATTTTGTAGATGGGGTCTCTCAAAGTATTTATCTAGGCTGGCCTCAAACCACAATCCTCCCAGTCTCAGCCTCCACAAGTAGCTAGGATTGCAGGTATGAACCATCAGCACCCAACAGAAAAATTCTCTTTAAAGGGGCAGAGAGCTAGTCACACAATCATGAAGTCATAAAAGTTGAATTTATCTTTGTGTGTTTGTGGTACTGGAGGTTGAACTCAGGGCCTTGTGCTTGCTATGCATGTGCTCTACCACTTGAGCCACATCAGAGTCCATAAAGCTGAATTTAAAGATGAGAAATATTGGAAGAAACACTACAAAAGAAAACTGTCAACAGCTGAGCAGATTGGTGTGTGCCTGTAATCCCAGCACTCAAATCACTTGAGCCCAAGAGTACCAGGCCAACTTGGGCAAGGTCCTGTCAAAAAAGAAGAGAAGATGGGGGCAGAGGGAGGCAGAGAGATTTCATTTTTTTAATTAATTAATTTAGCAGCTATTTTAGAAAGGCTTTTTTAAAAAGACTGGCAGGGTGGCTTAAATGGTCGAGTGCCTGCCAAACAAGCATGAGGCCCTGAGTTCAAATCCCAGTACTATCAAAATAAAGAGAGTTATAACCCACTGGATTAAAAAAATTTTTTTGGTGGGACTGGAGTTTGAACTCAGGCTCATGCTTGCTAGGCAGGTGCTCTTAACAGTTGAGCCACTCCTCCAAACCTTTTTATGTGATGGGTATTTTCGAGATAGGGTCTCTCAAACTATTTGCCTGGGGCTGGCTTTGAACCTTGATCTTCCAGATCTCTGCTACTGAGTAGCTAGGATTTTAGGCGTAAGCCACTGGCTCCCAGCTTGCTCTGGTTATTTTGGAGATGGCGGTCTCTCTATTTCCCCAGGCTGGCCTTAAACTGTGACCCTCCCAGTCTCAGCCTCCCAAGGCATGAGCCATGGGTGCCCAGAAACCTATAGGATTTTTTGACTCACTGACTATTAATGGGACTTTGTTTATGTACATACATCTTCATGCATGTACTTATGGAGGGATGAGATTATTTATTACTATCCCCTACCCCAATGGGTAAATCAAGCTTTAATTCTAAGTACTAGTACACTTGGCATATGCCTTTCCATCTCTCTTAACTAGGAAACATTAGTAAAGATCAGAACTAGGTATGAAATATGCGATATAATACCTTTTGTAAATGCCACAAAGTACCCCCAGCTAGCACAATATTTTTTAAAAAAAAGATCAGAACTGCAAGGACTCTTAGATGTGACCTCACAAATTTCCCCTTTCCTTCAAAGAAGAACTCCTTTTTCATTTGTTTTTGTGCTTAACATATATTACTTATACAAATGGGTTTCACTGTGGTATTTTCATACATGTATATAATATACTTTGACCAAATTCACCCTCTCTACTATTCTTTCTTATCCCCTTTTTTCTTTCTTTTTAACAATTTTTAGTGGACTTTATTATGCTATTTTCATACATACATATAATGCACTTTTATTATATTCAACCCAGTTACCCTTTCCTTGACCTCTTCCCTTTCTCCCACCACCACCCAAAAAAAAAAATTTTTTTTTTTCTCTCTAGAAGAGCTCTTTTCTATAACTTCCCTAAGAGGCCTGTTAGCCTCTCCTGGAAAATTCCTGGAACAGGACCATGTCACTATTCCTGAAACAGTTCTAACAGTCACATAGTTGACACCTACAATAAGTTAGAGCTGCTTCATCTTGATCCTGAATCAGTCTTAAGAGTCACACCGGGCTGATGGAGTGGCTCAAGTGAAGCCCTGAATTCAAACCCTAGTCCTGCCAAAAAAAACAAAATCAGAGTCACACAAAATTAAGTTTACTTCATTTACCACAACAGACCACTGATATTTTTTTCTTTCTAGGCTTATATAGGCTCAAACAAATTTCTCTGTCAGAAAGAGAAGGTGATATGGAAGCAGTGGCTATTTCTTTTTCCAGGATGGACCTTAAACATCAAATAAGCATTTCTTCAAATCAAAATGGCAATTTTGCAGCTGTCCTTCACATGTAGATCAGGAAAGGATCAACTATCTGGACACCTGGAATCATTTCAATGTTCAAGCACTACAGCTCAGTTAAAAGACTAGAAAGCAAACAACCAAACAGAAAATGGTCTTTCACAACAAACAAACATGATCATATATTCTAACTTAAGTTTTAAGTAATCACATGGTTTTCTTCATTTGTTGAGGACACAGGAAAACTTGAACTTTTCATTTTTACAGACACCCATAAACAAAGACTAATCCACACTTTTAGAATTTAGTCATTCCTAAAACCACCAGCCTCTTAAAAACTGTGTAAAAAAAGTAATTCTTTCTGGGCACCAGTGGCTCATGCCTGTAATCCTAACTGTTCAGGAGGCAGAGATCAGGAGGATTGCGGTTCAAAGCCAGCCTGGGCAAACAGTTTGTGAGACCTCATCTTAAAAAACATGGAGCTGCTCAAAGTGTAGGCCCTGAATTCAAATCCCAGTACCACACACACACACACACACACAAAAGCAATTCTTACAGAAGAAAAGCACTTAAAATAGTACACCTTTTGGCTACCTATCCAGATCTCCCCTTTCTTCTACACATTAATCTAATCCAGATTTCTTTTTCTTTTTTTGGTGGTGGTATCAGGATTTTAACTCTATTACTTTATCAATTGAGCCATGTCTCTAGCCCCCAGATTTCTTTTTGTGTTTGCCTTCCTCTAAGGATACTTGATCAGGAAAGTGATCTTATCCTCAAGCTCTGAGAGATGGACCTTAATTAGTTAGACCAATTGTGATAATTCTGTCTTTCATCCTTTTTTTTTTTTTTTTTGGTGGGACTAAGGTTTGAACTCAAGGATTCATACTTGCAAAGAAAGCAATTGCAAGGCAGGCACTCTACCACTTGAGCCATACCTCCAGTTCCTATTCCCCTTTTGTGACTGGTTTTGGAAGGGATAAGTGACTCAGCCATCACTAAAGAGACACAAGGGAACTTTGATGGGTGGGATCAAGGAAAGGTTTCCCACTTTATTAAATTTTTTAAAAAGCCATTAGAAAAAAAGTGGCTTTTCTGCTGAACATGGTCTTGTGTGCAGATAATGCCCAGACTGTAGTAGCACGCTGTCAACACAAAGAGGATGTGGGAACGGAAAAAATAAGCCTATATTTTGTGTGTGTGTATGTGTGGTACTGGGGCTTAAATTCAAGGCCTACACCTTGAGCCACTCCTTAAGCCCTTTTTGTGATGGGTTGTTTTTTTTGTTTGTTTGTTTGTTTGTTTTTTTGAGATAGGATCTCCCAAACTATTTCCCTGGGCTGGCTCAATCCTCCTGATCTCTGCCTCCTGAGTAGCTAAGATTATAGGCGTGAGCCACTGGCACCCAATCCAAATCACATTGTTTTAAGTCTCCTTACCATTTTGCTTCAGGATAAAAGAAG